CCTCCACCTCCATTGTTCTTTCTACATATGACAATCACCAATTTTTTTTCCTTTGCGGTGGACCTGGATGTTGCTTACTCCTCAAGCCTTCCTTCCTGCAGACCTGCTGAAGACGATTGGTTTTCCATGGTGCTCATCAACCTAGAATCCAAGCACTTCACAAGTGATGGATTTATCCTCACAACACATCTTTGAGGAGAGAAGGAGTTATTATCTGTTATTCTCCACATTCGGGGATGGAAGGAGGTGGAAGAAATGAAGCCCTGAATTTGCAGTTCAGGTTGAGATAAACCCTGTATTTTTGAAGAATTTGGTATTATGCAGCATTAATCCAGGCACAAGATCCCTTAGCTTCAGATACCACTGAGAGCACTGCACACTTCTGCAAAGCAAAACTCAGGGTGTGAAATTAGAGACTCCTGAAAGGGAAGATCACATTCTAAGTGGCTGCCCCCATGTGACAAGACTGGGTTGATTTTCCCAATGCCATATAGAACTTCTGTGAAAGAGGAAGAAACATGACATTTTTTAAGGCGTAGTTTGCAGGATTTCTTCCGTAAGACCATCTTCTTCATCTTCTCCACAAAAAATAGACAAGTTCCTCTAGAGTCATCATCACCCACCTAGATTCCTCCCCAGACTACAACCAGTCCTGAGTGAATCAGCAGTCTCAGTGGCCAAAAAGTTGTGTGAGAACACGTGGTTTATGGCAATGTATGCATTAGCAAGCAGTGCAGTTCAATAGGAGTGACTATGGAAGGAAAAACAATCAGTGATGAGGACCCAAAGACCATATTTTGGAGACGGATAGCTTCAGGGTAGTTTTAGTCTGGACCTGTGACCTGAGTTCCCGTTAGTGTAGCAGCACATTAGATGGGGTTCCAAGGAAACCATGTTGCATGAGCCGAGGTAAAATCTCATCACCCTAAGGTGGGTTTATTGGGAAATCACAGAGCACTGCTAATCTGAACGTAAATGCAGGTCTAGATGCATCCTAAGACAACTCAAAATTCAAATGCACAGGAAAAAAATAAAAGTTTTGCAGATGGTGTTAATTACAGCATTTCTTGTTTCTTTAACCTTGATACATTGAGCTTGGGAATCTTAAAAAATGTCCCTTCAATATTGCATGTATATCTGTGTGCACACATACATACTGACCCAGGACCAATGCAGCTGAAAAGTTAACTAAGGCAGATAAATCAAAGTGGTAACACTGAAATTAACACTTAGGAGGTCTTCATTCAAGTCTTATTGCGTTACTCATTAGGAGTCTTTCCACTGATGTCAATGGACTTTTTCTTGGATCAGGAGTAAAATATTGTCACCACGGTCACACCAGCACAGCAGCTGTTATTCACACAAATTTCCAGAAGGCATTTTACCTGCAAAAAGACCGAAAGATTTGACCCCACTAATTACTTCCATGGTGTTTTCTACACCATACAGATTATCGAAGTAGAACGATGACTCAGAAGGCTTTCTTGCTCTAACCTGGCTATCACCAGGTCTTCCCTGCAATTTCAGAAATGAAGGGCAGAGTTGCCAACCACAAGATGTTTGCCCAAGAACAACAGCTTTTGGCTTTTTCTATAAACCCGTTTTCTCATGTGTTAAAGAGAAGGAAAGAAACAAAGAGCAAACAAAAAACCCAAAATTAAGAAAACAAAAAAAGTAAACAAAACTTTTCAAGCCATTAGAATTCTGAAATATTTGCTCTGGGAGAAGAAAAGGAAAAAAAAAAACCGTAAGTGAGAAGCTGGTAGACCACTTGTGTTAATCTAGCATCAGTAATCAGGAGTATGTGATGTGAGAGATCTTATTCATCCTGCTCCTGGCATCAGAATATAAGATAATTGATGTAAGAACTCTCTAGACAAACTGTATATGTTTCCTGGAGTATATGCAGATAGAATGTCTGCATTTGTGTCCTTTTTAGGATAACCATCCTCTGAGCTGGCCACAGTCCTGCTTCATCCTGCTCAGTGCCCCTAAAATCTCTGAAACAACATCAGAAGGAAAGCACAAGAAGAAGCTTCCAGTTTTTAGGAAAAAAAAAAGTTAGAGTGAGCAACTCAGGAGCCAGTTCCCTCTAAAGCAAATGGAAAGATTCAAACACAATAATACACCAGTATAAAATTCTGCAGTGCGAATCCTCCTCTAATTTTCACGATTGCTGAGGTCATGGAATCAATATCTGTGTCCAATTGCAACCTGTTGATGAGCAAAAGGAGGGAAATGTTGTAGCATCACGAATTAAAAAATAATAATCTCTCAAGCTTAATATCAGCAAAGATGATTATTTCCTTTGATTTCTCAGACTAATTGAAAATAGCTTTATAGTTCACAGATGATTAATTAGGAGCCAACAAGATCTCCATTTGCATCTCAGTAATTCTTCACTGTGTTTTATTTCGACATTTAGTCTTTATGCTTGAAATATTCATTGAGAAAGCAGAAAGGTGATTAGCATAAGATTTTAAATGTGTGCCATTTGTTCTGACTTTTTTTTTTACACATTTTTGTCAACAGAGTAAAAAGGAGAGAATATACAACATTACAAAACAATTACTGCCTGTTCCACTTACATCTGCTAAAACCTCCTTTATGGTAGACAGTTTAACGAGGTTCATTTTTAAACAGAGGAGAAAAAGCCCAAATAAAGGTCAATCCTCTTCCCCTCCTCCCCCATTCCCAAATCAAATGACTATTATTTGGCCTCTGTGTAATCATCTTGAAAGTTTCAAAGTGGTCGTTCTTACATGAAACATCCTTATTCAAGTGAGCATCCTGAAGAAGAAAATTAAGTCGTGCCACCATTACCCTCACCAGTTATCACCCAAGAGAAAGTGGATTTGAAATAGCATCTGACAGATATGGTGATATTTTTTCATCCACTTCGCACTGAAAGTCAGGAGTACACACATTTCTGGGTGAAAGAACTCAGTTATTTCATTCTGCATTAAAAAAAATTTTAAAAAAATCATTTACAGGTCATGTCTGTTGAGGTTTTCAGATTTAGGTTTTGGTTTTTTAATTTGGGGGTTTTTAAGCATTTTCTCACAGCCTTGGCAACCTCTGTCTTATCACACCATGCTTAAATCTCCGGCAAATGGGGTGGGGTGATAAGAAGTTTAACCCTTCATTGGGAAACCCTTATGTTGGTATAAAGAAGCTGGGAGAGTAAATGCTGAAGACTAAAAGGAGGACCGATTCCTAAGGATTGAACCATCAGAAATCAAATTATGAGTCAAACTTTGTTATTAACAATAATAATATTAATACAAATGGCATTAATTTGAGGAAAACTCTTACAAGAAGGGGCTGGCTGATGGCCTTCTGGGCGTTGTCCTCTGTCTACCATCAAATCCAGTCTTTTGTAACAGGTTCTAACCATTCCTCCAAGCACAGGGACAGGGTCCGGTCCATCTTGATTTTACATTAAGATCTTGACATTAAACTATCAACTTACACCACTGAGTACTCAACAGGGCAGAGCAGAAAGAGCTTTTCCAGCTCCAGGCCAAAGTCTCGAGGGTCTTTCCTAGAACTTCCCAAAAAACAGCCAGGATCATAAGGATTCTGCCATACCTTTGCACTTACCCCAGTCCCAAATTGTCTTCAACATGGGTTTGCCACCCTGGTGGCCTTGGTTGACTGAGACCAAAAGGGACCCATCCCACGTGGGCTGCGATTCAAGGGACAGGGAGCACACACCGGACAGTGGGGTTACACTAACATGCAGACCATTTATTTTTGAGTTGTTTGGGTTTTTTTCCTTTGTTCTGTGAGGTGTTTTTTTACCAAGCCACTGCAAACACTGCTTTGGCTGTCAGCATGAGCGCAGAGACACAAATTCCCATACCCATCATAACTACACAATAAGTACGACCAAAACAAATTAAAGAAAAATAATAAAGAAAGAAACATATTCCCTTTCCCACCCCCAAGCACAAAGCACTTTTAAGTCAACAGAATTTAATCTAGTTTATTCTCAAAAAAAAAAAAAAAAGGAGGAAAAAATATGAAAACAAAACAAAAAAAGCAGGTCTTATCACTAGCAGTAAATAAATTTGTACAACCATTCAGTCTGTATAATAGGATGAAATAAATCTACATCTTTCTTATTTTGGTGCGTTGAATTATACATACAAACAACAATTACAGGAACTTGTTCACAATGCGCATAGACCTGGAGAATGGCTATCTGAAAACCCCTTGTTGGCAATGTCCGCATGTTAACACTGATTGCCTGACACCATTGGTACTTCCTATGTAAAAGATCCGTGGCCCGAAATGAATGATCTCCCTACAGTTTTTATTTATTTCATTAGTTAGTTAGTTAGTTAATGCATCATCAAAACCGATCTAGCCAGCCCCCTCTCCCTCCCCAGAAATGAAAAAGAAACAAACAAACAAAAAACCCTAACAAAAAACAAAATAAAAATAAAATAATAGGAGAAGACATGACTGGCTGTTGGTCCATTTGTTCGTAAGACCGCGTTTCCTCTTGGTCTGCATTGTTTGTTTTTCTGGTTTTTAAATTGTCTCCCATCCTCTTTTTTTTCTTTTCTTTTCCTTTAAAAAAAGAATCTCTCGGAGTCCTTCATGACTTTTTCTTTACAGCTCCCCAGATGCAATAAAGTCTTCCTCAAATGTACAGTATTTCTTACAATATAAGTTATATGCAATGTTCAGCTTTTTTTATTTTATTTTATTTTTTCACAGCACTAGAGATCTTGTCCAATAGGGAATGCAAGTTCTGAATGGCTTATTCACAAATGGTATCCAGATTCAGTGGGTAAGAATACATAGATGCCATAGTGAGTTCCTTTAAAAAGTGGCAAACATCACTTTTTTAAAACCTTTTTTTTTAACTTTTTCTCTTTTTTTTCTTTTTTTTCCTTTTTTGTGCTTTTTGTAGTTTTTTCTGGGTTTTTTTTTTATTTTTTTCCTCTCTTACGCCTTCAAATAACTTTTTTTTTTTAATTATTATTCTTTTTTTCCCCCTCCCATTTGATTCGGGATGTCAGACCCATAACCACACGCCTGCAAAAATGCAAGTATATAAAGTAAATCTCATTTTGAGACCGTAAGCATTCAGCAGGGGAGTCTCTCGCTAACCCATAGCAGTGACCATACTGGAAGGATGGTGAGGTCCGAAGGAGAGGCTGGATGGAGGATGCATCGGTGTCGGTGTTGTCAGCATGTGGCTGGAGTGACTGAAAGGTGAAATGTGGCTGATGGAGGACATGTGTCTGGAGAGGGCAGCGGGGTTAAAGGAGCTGCTCTTGGGAAAGTCTTCAAGGTTGTCATGGACTTTTTTGCACTTTTTGGATTTGCTAGACATTTTCCGGTTTCTGGTCTGAATTCCTTCTTTCTTCATAGTCAGGGGTCTGTTAATCTAAACAAAAATAAATTATTTTTTTTTGTGCTTCCATCCTTTCACCCCAAATCACCATGGGATTTGTGTACCCCATGCCCAGGCAGCCCTGGGGATGTGCACTCCTCCTTCCCTTGCACACCCCATGTGCCATGGCTATGCAACCTCTCCCCCTCCAACCCAAAACTCACATCCCACCAGGAAATCCCAAATTCCATTGAATGTTCTGAAGACAAGAAGACAGAAAGTTACTGGCAGGGCCTCACGGCTGCAAAACTCACAGCGGCTGAAAAATTTCAGCTATCTGCACATTAGGTAATTGCACCATGTTTAGGAATGAAACCAATCATTATCACCTTGAAATATCCCCGCAGACACCGTCTCACCCCGAGGCTTCCTGACTGATCTAAAACCATTAGCGGCTGGGATTTCAGTGCTACAAGGGGTCTCAAACCTTCACAGTGGCATTAGGGAGCTGGCCAAACTCTTCACAAAAGGGGCAGGTATTTGTCTTATTTTTCTTCTTTAGAAAGATTTTGCTCTCACCATCCTTGCAGGTTTACTTTAGCTGATTTGATTTTATTTCTAAAGCTTTCCAGGGTTTTTTTGTTTGAGGGTGTTGAAACAGATATCCATGCTGCCTGGTAGAACATTTTTTCTGTTTTCATACAGACATATTCTTCTGCATGGGTTTGATTGGTCTGACCCATCGGGGTTAGGAAATGGTAGCAAATGCTTTGTCAAACCACCTGCAAGAAACTATTGCTGCATCAAGAACCAGCATCACAATATGAATTGGTGCAGGTGCTGTGAAAGCCCCAAAGATCACACACAGGAAGGGATTTATGCATCCAATATCCATAAACACCCTTAGAAGTCTGGACTTGGGAGCCTACATGGGAAGCTACAAAAGTTTTGCTGGATCCTCTACAGAATTTCACCCATAGCAGAAGAGTCCAGCAAACCATCCCAGGGCTGGACACCACTTTTCATAATAAACGTGAGCACACGGCAATGCTGATGGATATTCTGCAAAAGGGAGAAAAGGTGGGGGAAAATGGATCCACTCTCCACCAGGAACTACTGTCTCAACCCCAGTGAAGGACAATGAAGAGAGTTCCTTGCAAGGGTCCTGAGCAAATCTGCGTTCATAAGATCTTAAATCAGCGCAAGGGACAAAGCACTCCCTTCACAGATCGCCGCTAAGTTTCACTTCTTGCTCATCAGCCGCTGCTCGGTGCCTTTCCCCGCAGCATGGGAATCGTTCACAGATTTCTCTCTCAGGGAGGCAGGGATACAATAGCTCCCTGTTACACGTGGGAATGGAGGCATGGGGAGAAGAAGGACCAGGCTCATCTGCTCCAGTTTAGGCAATGCCAAAGTTCATCATCCCAGTCTGAATTGGTAACTTCAAGCCCTCCATACCAACAATGATGGGAAAATTCCTCTCATCCTAAAAATGGGTCAATAAAAGGCCGATTTCTCCACCTCTGGACAAAGGGAACTGGAGGGAGCAGCCCTGCTTGCCAAAGGTAGGAAGGAGAAATCTGCCCGTGTGCAGTCCAACAGCAGCCCTGGGGCAGCAACAAGCAAAAAACCTCAAATGTCATGAGCTTTAAATACAACATCACCCGTCTCCCTGGCTTCCTGTCCTCGCCTAGGGAATGACGACACACAGAGAAGGAAGGCCCTTTGCTCCAGCTGGATGGCTAGGACGGGAAAGCTTTGCCTGACCTGTTTAAAGTCATCCAGAAGGGACGTGTTGCCCAGGTTCAGAGCTGGAAGGAAGCCCCAGGTGAGCCCCACTGGGCAGCGATGCTAGAGGAGACATGGAAATCTCCATTCCTGTTTGAATCCAGCTCAGGGAGGCATACAGGAGCCCCAGGCTCCCTAGCTCCTAAAGAAGATTTGCATGGTGACACCAAGGCTCAAGGGCAGCCAGAATTGATTTTCCAGTGAAGCAGATGGGGAGGCATCCTTTATCAGGGAGTGTAGTGACAGGACAAGGGGTAATGGGTATAATCTAAAAGAGGGTAAATTTAGACTAGACATTAGGACGAAATATTTCACTGTCAGGGTGGTGAGGCAGTGGCCCAGGTTGCCCAGAGAAGCTGTGGATGCCCCATCCCTGGAGGGGTTCAAGGCCAGGCTGGATGAGGCTTTGAGCAACCTGGGCTAGTGGGAGGTGTCCCTGCCCATGGCAGGGGGGTTGGAACTTAATGATTTTTAAGGTCCTTTCCAACCCAAACCATTCTGTGATTCTGTGATTCTATAACCTCAGGAGCTGATGGTGGCAAAGCAACATCAGCCTGGTGCTGGGACAGGCTGTACTGGCTCTTGGAGCAAGCAGGGTGTCCCGACCTTGTGTAGCTTGGTATCATGTCCTGCAGGGCCATGACCACTTCCTCAAAGCAACGTCTCTGACTCAACTGCTCAGAACAGATCAGCCCAGGCCATGATTCAATGTGAAACTTAGGGATGGGAATCCCAGTTTTGCTCAGGACGGTGACAAAGCCAGGGCCAGCTATACAACCAGTGTCAGAGATGCCATCCAAGCTGTTAGCTGGAGACATCATCCCAGTGGACATGGTCTCACCTTCCCAGCAGGTACCTGACCCAAGTGCCAAACAGATAAGGACTCAGATAAATGTCAGGAAGAGTGAGACCAGCACAGTCACAGCAGCAGGCTGGAAAATTTTTCAGTGACTTCAAAGGCCAGTCACAGTAGACTTAAAATGGTCCCCAAAACATCAAAGCCATGGACCCATCTCTATTTCTGGGGTAGAGAAATGAGAGACCCAGAGGGAAGACCTTCTCCGTGAAAATTCATCTGTGATAAAAATGACAAACACATGCTAAATTAAAATTAAACCAGCCCAATGCATGTATATGAAATTCATTAATTTCAGATGGAGCCAATTAATTATGGGCAGGAATTATGCTCTTTGTTTTATCATATGCAAAATACCGACTGCTCTGAGCTTGGGACGCATAGCCTTGCTTTAGGATACTGTGAAACAGAGACCTGTTTTGGGGACTTTTACCAAAACCAACTGTAACTCACTCATTTCTATGGGCACAGGCCAGTCTGCTGTGCACCTCCAGCAAGTGCTGTGCACTCCCATCCCTGATGTGAGTGAACATTGATCCTGCTTCTAAGGACTGAAATAACGAGGGACGACAACCTCACATTCAACAGACCAAACCCAGAGGAAAGTCTTAGACATTCCAGGTCTGATCTTGCTCTGAATGAAGACAATGGGATTCTGCCATTGACCTCAATAAGGTCCTGTCACTGAAGAAGATTTATCCTTCCGACATAGTCATTACAATGTTGGGTTAATCTTCCAGCCTGGCTGTATCTTAGAAAGCACTCTGGGATGCCACAGGATGAAAGGTACCATATCAATGTGAAATATTAGTCATTGTTAATACTGGTGTTAATGGAGCCAGCTCTTGTTGAAGTCAGTGGGAGAAATGTCAGCAGCTTTGCTAAATGCACCCCAAGGCTGTTATGATTATTGCTTCTACCCTACTGACAAATGGGTTTGCTTAAGCTGTGGGAATCAACAGTAAAACAAACTGATACAGCCCCACGAAAAAAAAAAAAAGGCACCATGGAAAAAAATAGCACCACAAAAAAAAAATAGCCTTTTCACCGCAATCATTCCTGGTGTGGATTTAAAAACTGGGTAAGTCTCATCTTCAGATCAATCCATTACAATACCTTAATGATCTGAAGGTTCAAGAAAAATTCGTTAAACACAAAGAAAAGACAAAAGCGGGGAGGGAGGATAAAAAAGCAGCTGGGAATTTGCTACAACCTAGCCTGAAACAGGGTTAAGGCATCTTCTGAGCAGCCAAAGACCTTCCACCGACAGTGACGCAACATCTGTGCAGTCACCCAACTGCTTGGGAGGGACACTTTACTACGAGCCTCTCTATTTCTGACACCTGTCCTGATGGAGAACCGATGCAGATAAGATACGCAAAGGGAGCAGGACCACAGCCTACACAAACAGGTCTTGCACTTTAACAGACCAGACCAATTGGCACCAGCCAAGACACCTCGTCCACGTGCAACCACAAAATTTCCTCCCTGCCTTGAGTCGATTAAAGGATGATGCTGGTGCCCTTCACCAGGCAGCTAACACATGTCCCTAGGTCCTGCCTCGCAGCAGCCAAAAAGAGAAGGCATCTCCATTAAGCTACCACTGGTCACAAAACAACTCACTCATATTTGGCTTTTGAAGCACAAAGTGGCTTTCACAGTCACAGCCTCTAAAGCCATTTGGGCTGTAGAATAATACTCCAGTGCTCTGTCATCATGGACCTTTAAAGCTGAGGGTGGTACGTTCATCGTCCACGACGTCTGTTTCTCACCGCAGTAATAACTAAGCATCATCTTAAAAAAAAATAAAATTAAAAAAAAAAAAATCTACCCACTCATAGCCAGATTTTGGTATCCTTGCCTAGTTATATTGCCATACACAGTATCTCAGTCCTCTAGGGGTTTCATTTAAGCAGGTCCCATTAATGGAGTTGCTCATAAGGCAAGACACTACTTGACTTTGGTAAGTAGCTGTGCTGAGCTTTTAAGCAGCTGTCTAATGAACATGAAAATGGTTCCAATGTGCTCAAGGCCTGCCCCATGTCACAACTTTCACAGCTGGATCGGAGTTTCCCTAAACAGCGGATCTACGGGTCAATTCAGGCCAACTAGGTTCACAGTGTTAATGTGGGGGAAAAAAAAGGAGAGAAGGAGTGGCAGCTCTTGCAGGCACATTTCTGGAGAACCTCGACACCTAGGCACCATTCTAGACATCTAAGGGGGGGGTTCTTCCAGTCAGGTGCCTACAAGGCAGGTGCTCCCTTCTGAACTCATCATTCTACTGCCCTTTGTAGTCATGGGCAGAAACTACACCATCTTCAAGGATACAAATCATCTCATCCAAACACAGGCATCTCCATCAGGTCCAACGAATGACACATCAGAATATCTTATTTTCTTCAAAAGGCTTTGCTGGGGTTCAGGGGGAGCAGCTCAGGTATAAGGTTCCATATTGTAAGCCTCCCAAACTATGTGATTTAAATCCTACCGCTACCAGCTAAAGACCAAAATGAAAGCATCACACAAGCATAGACTTCTACAGTGATGCTGGCTGACCTTGCTCCATTCTTGCCATGGAAAAAACAGACCAAATATGTTCTTGTGATATTCTGAGAGCTTTCACTGCAGGCCCAAGTCCTTTGTTTGCCGTGATCACACTGAGAGTTTGATGGCAATCTTTGCTTGCTACATAGGACTCAAAACATACTGAGGTGCCTGCCCACTAACAGATAAACACATTTTCCTTTTTTCTGAGAGATGCCTCTCACAGAACAGGTGAAAAATTAGCCTGGTTGGTTTGGATTTGTTTTGTTTTGTTTTTCTACTTTATCCAAATTTATTTACTCATCCCAAGAAACCAAAGAGCTTGAAACAACAAATGGAAGGGACAGAGACACCACAAAAGTTGGGTGCCCCATGAAACCAAATCCATCTTTGATGTGTTTGCGTGGGTGGACATTAGGCTAAAACATAGCCTGAGATTTCTAAACTCAAACATAAAGCAAACGACCACTAGGAAAAAAAAAAAAGTTATATCAAAGCAGAGAAATTGAAAGTCTTTTCCTTCTTCTGACACAGTAATTATTCTAATGCCACATGTGAAATGAGAGTAACAGGAGTAGCCTTAAGACTCCTTTATTAGCAGTATTATTCAGTAGAAGACTTTTCAGATCCCTTTAGTTGGGGCACATATCCCTGGTTCCTGCAAGCTGGTTTTGCATGGAGATATTAGATTAAATCTGCCAGCCATTTCATTTCATTTTTCCTTCCTTTCCATGACAGATGCTTTAAAATTCACATCACAGGTTGAGCAGACTCTGCAACCCACTAACTAATTCAAGTCCTTTTTGGTTTAAGAATCGCTTGCGTCAACCAGGGCAAACACAAGACCTAAATAAATCATCTTTGGGGACGGGTGGAGGGACGGGACAAAGGCAGCCACAAACCCAAGAAAGATCTAAATAGTTGCTGGCACATTTTGCTTTTTTTCCAGAGTTTGTGTTTGCTGGAGGAACCAAGCTACGCATAGAAGGGGTATCAGCTTGCAGGATGGTATGTTGTCTTTTCCAAGGCACTGAGCCCAATCAGCAGCAGATAACGTCTCTCTGTGTTAATCCACCCCTCCTTTCTTGGCTCAGGCATGGGAAAGCTCTAACATTACCCACGGACAGCCCTGTTTTATACCTCCCCGAGTCAGATCGGCTACGTTTGAGGGGATGCCAACTCATAGCTCCAACCCCCAAGGTCCCCAAAGGGATAACAGAGGTCTCAGCATCACCAGAGACTGGAAATCCTTAAGTCAAGGAAGAGTTTGGATCATCGAGCACCAAAACTGAGGCCCCCCCACTACTGAGCTTTTACAGTCACACTTACATTGTGCAGCTTGTAGTAGAGCCCGCAGGCGTTACAGACGGGATCGCCGTTGGCATTCCTCCTCCACAGGGTGGTAGTGGTGGTCTGACAGTTTGCGCAGGACGTGCCCGCCCTCCTGGCTGCAGACTGTGGGAAGGAGGGGGGAGAGGCAGGGGAAGAGAAGGGGAGGGAGAGAAAAGCACCCATGTTAAAAAAAAATTTTAAAAAAAATTAAAAAGGAAAAAGATGCAATCAGCAAAATTGCTGAGAAAGAAAACATCAACCCTGCAAGACTGACGCACATCGGCAGAGGCCTCCAGAAACTGGCTTGTGAGAACAAATAATAATTCAAAAAAAAATCCCTGAGGTACTTTAAGCCCAAATTATATATGAACTGAATCAGGTGCCAAAGGGCATCCTAAAAGTGAGTGCTAAACCTCTGATAGAACTCATCAAAATTAGCAGCTCTGGCACAGCCCATTCCAGAGGGGAAAATATTATTTAAATGCCAACGTGTCGTTCCATCTTAATTCTCTCAGACCCCCCAGGGGTCTAATTCTGCAGTCAGGGCCTGAACCAAAAATTGCTGGAGTCAACGGTGTGGCATGAGTCACACCAGCTCCAGCGAGTGCCGGGCGAGACCCGCGCTGAGCTTGGTGGGCAGCTGCTTGCCGGGTCTGACCGCAAGCACAGCTCGGTCCCATAAATTCAGCTCAGCTTCAAAGGATATGGGTTCCAGATCGGAAATAACACTGTGGCAAAAAGCGAGAATCCCAACTTTTTAATTATACCCTTTTTGCAGCCTAAACCTTCATGTTTATTTAAGGATTGGTAATGAGCCTGAAAGAAGAATTTACAATTTCATAAAGGGGGAGGGACAAGAAAAATTGCCTATGTGTATAAAGAAGATTTTCTTGGCTGTGATAATGACTTAGCAAAGCCAACTTTAGCAAAGTCGCTCCTCTTTCACATGCATGACTTCGTGCTTATCATTTAAAAACTGTAACTTCAGCAAACAAATCATCCTTCTGCCACCGAAGGAGGAAAAGGAGTTTGCAGACTCCTGTGGGAATGCGTGTGCGTGTTTGCCTCTGTGCAAGTGCCTACAGCTCCTAAAAAAAGACCTTTAGATCCCCATCCTATCTCTTCTTCATCAATATGACAGTCCCGGAGCTCTGATTTCATCCCGATGCATTGCTTTCAATGGGACTGCTCATGTGCTTAAAGTTAAAACATGTGCTTAAGCGATTTGCCAGATCATAGCAATGCTTGGCACCTTGCAGAACTGAGCCTTTAATGCTCTCTTTTGTGCTCTTACTGTTTCAAATTTACCCCTCACCCCACACAGCCACACACTGTAGCACATCCAACATTAAAAAAAAAAAAAAAAGAAAAAAAGAAAATACCACATCTTTGGATACCGTACAACAAACCCAAAATGCAAACATGGACACTGGCACAGCGCTAGTGTTAATACCAGCTCTTGTTAGGTCATGTTGCAATTTTAATCATAATTGAATGCGGCGTAGGCGGAGAAAGGACGGGTTGGTTTTGTTTTAGATAGAGTAGGATTTTTTTCTTTCCTTTTAATTAGACAAAAAGGACTGCCTAAAAAATAAATAACACGATGCCCATGAGCATTAGGAAGCTGATCTGACAGCAAGGGGCTCTCACTGGCTGCCCGTGGGCATAGTTCCATTTTGCCTGACCAGAAACCGCGCTGAAACGAGCCAATCCCAAGCTTATGGAGGCCTTCGGCTGACTTCTCCATGCTGATGACGAGCAGGAGCTGGGAATGGCACACAGCTCTTTTGTTGCAAAAATCCCAGTGCTGGCAGGAGAAGCCGAAGCATCCCACCACGAACATCAGAGCCCCCAACACATGCCCCGGTCCTGTCTTCCTCCAGCCCATACCATGGCCCCAAATTTGGTCCCCGTCAAGATCACCGGGTTAATACATGTACTTCAAACACGGCACAGACACAGCATCTTGCAGACCTCGGCTCTCACCGAGACCTGGGGGCTGAATCTGTGGGTTTCTGCCCCCCTGGCTCCCACCGGCTGGCACGGGTGGCTCAGAGGCTGGATTGAGTCTCTTGGTGGCAGCTTTTGCCCTTATCAGCCCCAAAGATCAAGCCTAAGGAAATTTCTAAAAACCAGTGATATTCGACTCAGCCCACACAGGGGAAATATCCCCTTTGAAGATATTTGGGGTTTCTACACGGCGCTCACCGTAATTTCACTTACGGCAAGTGCGTTTAAAAGACACGCCTGGTCACCCCCTTGCTACCTTCAAACAAACTCTGACATTAAATAAACGAATAAATCACAACATCCACTATCTTCTCTAAAACCTCTTCCATCTGCAGCATTTCCCCTCCAAAAATTCAGCGTCATTAGCTGCATATTTTAAACTCTGTGTTCTTTCAGCCCCAGACTGTACCTTTTAAGCGGCACCGACTTATACCGGAGACACCAGCAGTGGGCAGGAAACAATGAATAATATCACTATTGTAAAAGCTCCCAGCAGTGGCATCCACTGACGCTAATCATCGACCCGAGCCTGACCATGTAAGTAGAGGGATGACTAATAGGGTGCCCCATATCATCTGGAGGACCAGATCCCATGGCCCAGTTGCATGTGAGCAAGAGCACAACCTCAGAAGATGATGAGTGATGAGAAGGTGGGATTGAGGATGGTGCAGGAGGAACGAAGCACTGATAAAGATGTTTAATTAAGGGCTATTTTTGGTGTCCCAATTTACAAGGGGTACACAGAAAGCCGCAAGAAACAACTTCCTAAAATAACTTCCCTGGTCTAGTGGGAGGCGTCCCTGCCCATGGCAGGGGGTTGGAACTCGATGGTCTTTAAGGTCCCTTCCAACCCTAACCCTTCTATATGTTTCTATAAGACTGCACATACATGTGTCTTCTGAGAAATTTGCTATAACACTTCCAAAACCAGCACAGCTGGACACCGAAACAGTGTTCTGCATCCACAAGGTTAAGAAAAGGAAAAAAACCTAAAAGAAGGTTTTATCTCAGCAACATCAGTGACAGGACTGCCACTGGTTTCAACAGGGATGGGAAGGGTCTCCAAGAAGGCTGTAGACCTTTTAAGCAGAGTGGTGGCGTGGTACCGCCTGCCTTTTCCTGATGCCCCTGCCAACATCTCCAGATCTTCCACCTTCCCCCCAAAACAGATCCTGTTTGAACTCCCTCAACCACCAAGGCTCCATCCATCTCCCCTAAAGGAAGCTTTTATGAAGACGCCCATTGAATTTCATAAGGCTTGGGCTGGGTTCTCAACATCTAAGTGTTTATTTGCCTTCTCTCTCCAACCCATCGGAGTCCTTTCATTAATTTCAGCGTGCCTGGGATCACAGCCTACAAAACCAGCCCAAGGTTACGCAGGAAACTTGTGGCAGAGGGAGAGGAGCGCAGGCTGGATCCCCACCCTGAGCCTCCGTACACACGCCACCTTCCCCAGCCCGCTCGCCTTCAATACTCAGGAAAGATCAGATCAAGCCGCAGACACACACACGTCTACATCCACGCACACGAAATACAAATGCAGGCCCAGCTTTGGTGCCTTCTGTTTTGTTTTTTTGTTTTTTTTTTAGTTTAGCAAGGGAAATATAGATGCAAACAATGTCAGAAGCATTTATCTTTTGGTTTTTTTCTTTCTCCAGGCAGTGCTGGAAAAAAAAATACAGAAAAATCAAAATTTCCCATTTAGCAGAGGTTATATTCAAAGAATGGGAATTTTTTGTAATTTAAACTTTAACTGAAATTCCCCAGATTAGTGCAATTATGCAAGACAAGGTTTCTCTTTATTTTTTCTCTCTTTCTTTCTCTTTTTTTTTTTTTTCCCCACAAGAATGACCTTTTACAATGTATTTATTTATATAGTTCATTTTACATGTGCTGGGCTGAGGGTGACTCGGGACATTCTTTCGTGGTTCCATCAGACACTTTTTGAAAGCTCTCTCCCCCCCTTTTTTCCAACCGCTTTCCTATTCTGCCTCCCCCTCCGCTTGTTTGGATACGCTCAAGCTCCTGTGTGTTTGGGCTGGGGAAACGGAGCTGTTGTTTAGGAGTTATCTCCAGGGCTCAGATATCCGGCAGCTTTTTCCTAGGAAGTTAACTTTACACATAAAGAGAGAATGAGGAGAAAAAAAAACAAAAAAAAAGAAAGAAGAAAACGAGGTGTGTGTGTTTAAGACAGAAAGCCTGGGGGGAGGAGGAGAAGAGAACAAGAGAGCTGCCCAAAAAAAATTAAAATCCAAGCCTGTACTTCCCTCCCTAGAAAGCTTTTCCTTTTTTCTAACAAGGCTATGAAAGATGAGGAAGACCAACATTTTCCTATATGGGAAAAGCCCGTATAGGAGGGCATGGAGAGGTTTTGCCTGCAGGAAGTTTGGGGATAGAGAAGTAAAACCGCGTCTTCCCTGAAACCCGCCTGGGCCAGTCAGAGCCAACACCACCTCCCAGCACCCACGGGAATAACACTGGCCCAATTTTATGGACATCTCACAGGTGAGGAAGCAGAATCCATGCCCAAGAATTGTAGGACCGAGGCTGTGAGCAGCTTCACGGGGAACACGAGGCCAATGGACAAACCCCCCCCCAAAACTGGAGGATCCAGCCATGCTTCACAAGCCTCACGCAACCGGATGGATCCATCCATCTGCTCAGAAACTCCACGGAGAACCCCTTTTCCTCCACGTTTTGAGCAATCAAGAGGGACAGGGAACTGCTAGAGAGAGTCCAGCGCAGAGCCACAAAGATGATGAAGGGAATGGAGCATCTCCCTTATGAGGAAAGGCTGAGGGAGCTGGGTCTCTTTAGCCTGGAAAAGAGGAGACTGAGGGGTGACCTAATTAATGTTTATAAATACGTGAAGGGTGAGTGTCAGGAGGATGGAGCCAGGCTCTTCTCTGTGACATCCAGTGACAGGACAAGGGGCAATGGGTTCAAGCTGGAACATAGGAGGTTCCACTTGAATATGAGAAAAAACTTCTTCACGGTGAGGGTGACAGAGCACTGGAACAGGCTGCCCAGAGAGGGTGTGGAGTCTCCTTCTCTGGAGACATTCAAAGCCCGCCTGGATGCGTTCCTGTGTGATCTGATCTAGGTGTCCTGCTCCGGCAGGGGGATTGGACTAGATGATCTTTCAAGGTCCCTTCCAATCTCTAACATTCTGTGATTCTGTAATCCCCAGGAGCCCATCCACATCTTTAAGCCTAACGAAACCAAACATGCCTCAATTCGAAACATTCAATAACTTCCCAAGCAGGGAACATATTTTTTTTTTTCCCCCCGCTTCATATATTTTTTCCCCTTGTGGTTTGCCTGATTATTTGCCAAATATACTTCAACGCATTTATTAGCCATGCCCACAGCTTCCAGACCTTTTTGTGGCTTCCAGGGAAATTCATAAATACATCGCTGGGGATGCTCTAACATATAGCCTGTATGGTTGTGAGGCTTGCAACTATTCTTTCAAATATTTACGCGCACATTTCATCTTCCTCCAACTTCTGTAGCCCTGGGCTCACACTCAGCTTTGGACTCTCACTAGGTTTGCACCTATTTTGCCATCCCGTACCTTGTGTCCAGGCCACTTTCAGGGGGCGGCAGCTCCCTACAAGGCCAGCATGCGACA